GGGGGCTGCCCGGCTGCAGTGCTCTGGAGGGGACACTGGGGGCGGGGGCGGCCGCCCGGCTGGGGTGCTCGGGGGGGGCACGGGGCGGGCTGGGGCGCTCGGGGGGGGGCCGGGGGGGGGGCGGGGGGGCGGGGGGGGGGGCGCGGGCCGGGCGGGGGCGCTGGGGGGGGGACACGGGCCGGGCTGGGGCGCTCCGTTGGGCACTAGGGGTCCCATGGCTGGGCCCTTAGGTGTGTCCTGTCCCGGCAGCGCTGAGGCCCTGCAGAGCATGTTCCTGCTCATGAGCCCGCGGCAGCTCTATGAGCACTTCAAGGACGATTACGAGATCCAGGACATTGGCTGGAGTGAGGAGAAGGCAGCCGCCATCCTGGAGGCCTGGCAGAGGGAGTTTGTGGAGGTAGGAGGGGTTGGGAGCGGGGGGCCGATCCCCAACCTGTAGGGGGACGGGGGTGGCCACTCATCAACAGAGCAACACGGTGGGACTTGCGGGGTCTCTGTGCACACGTCTGTGTGCATGTCTCACCGTGGGTGTGCATGGCTGAGCGTGCCGGGAGTGTGCGAGCGTGCCGGGAGGGTGAGCGTGCCGGGGGGGTGAGCGTGCCAGGGGGCTGAGCATGCTTGGTGAAGGGCAGCATGGTGCTACATGGCCGTGTTCTGGGAGCTCTGGTGAAATGGGAGCCGGGGGGGGTGGACCCCCAGTGATCTCTCAGCGTCTGTGCTCAGCCCCCCTGTGGGAGTTGGAGCCCCACAGAGGGCACAGCACGTCTGGCATTGAGGCCTGGCTGGGGCAGTGCCGGAGGCAGCTCTGGCCGGCTTGGGATGGGTTCAGGGCTCTCTCTTCCCCCAGCTGTTAATGCCAGGTTCCCACAGGGGCTCAGCCAGATACGGCCCTGGCCCGCTGCCAGACCACGGCAGAGCCCCCGGCCTGGGGTTTGGCTGCAGCCTCTTCCCGCTTTGCCTCATGGGGAGGGCACAGGCTGCCCATTGGGAGGGGCGTGGCAGGGGGTGGGCTGCCTGCTGGGAGTGGCGTGGCGGAGGGCACAGGCTGCCCACTGGGAAGAGTGTGGGGGAGGGAGGGCTGCCCATTGGGAGGGGCGTAGCAGGGGGTCGGGTGCCTGCTAGGAGGTGCGTGGTGGGGGCAGACTGTCTGCTGGGAGGTGTGTGGCGTACCAGGGGTGGGGTGCCCACTGCGAGGGGCGGAGGGTGGTGGGAGGGCTGCCCCCTGGGAGGGGTGTGGCATGGCCAGGGGGCTGCCCATGGTGCTTCCCTGGGCGCGATGCCCTCCGGCCGTGTCTCTGAGGCCCTGTCTCTCCCCAGCTGGCACAGGAATGCCTCCCGCAGAACAGCTCCCAGCGCGTCCACGCCTTCTCCACTACCACGCTCAGCGACATCATGAAGTCCTTCTCGGACGTGAGCGCCATCCGCGTGGCCGGAGGCTACCTCCTGATGGTAGGTACCTTCCCCCGCCCGCCCGCGCTAACCCCGCCCGCGCTAACCCCGCCCGCGCTAACCCCGCCCCTGCTCTGCTTCCAGCTGGCGTACGCCTGCGTGACAATGCTGCGCTGGGACTGCTCCAAATCCCAGGGGGCCGTGGGCCTGGCCGGCGTCCTGCTGGTGGCCCTGTCTGTGGCGTCAGGACTCGGGCTCTGCTCGCTGCTGGGGATCTCCTTCAACGCAGCCACCACCCAGGTACCGCACGCCAGGGCCGGGCAGGGCCATGGGGAGAACTGCCTGCCCGTCGTGCCTTGCTCACCCTCCTGCGCGGGGGCTGGAGCTGGCACCTCCGGGGCCGGGACCCGCCTTCTCACCTGCTCCGCAGCCATATGGGAGACCTGCGGGAATAACACGGGCACTCTGCCCTCGCCATCAGGGCTGGCCCTGATGCCCTAGTGCGGCACTAGGGGGCGCTGTGCTGTGGAGCAGGGCGTGGGGTGGGGGGGTCAGTAGGGGGCGCTCTCCCCAGCGTCTGAGCCTGGTGCAGGGCGCTAGCTGCCCTTGCGGGGAGGCAGACCGGGGGGGCTGTGCCCCAGCCTGTGGGATCCCGTGCCCCGTTCCCATGGGATCCTGGGTTCTCCGGGTGGAGCTGTGGCGGGTGCTTCTCCCCCAGAGGTGGGCACACTCCGGCGCAGGGAGAGGCAGCGCTGGGGTGCTGGCAGCTGTACCGGCTGCAGAAGCTCAGTATGGAGGCTGGTTTCTGTCCCCACAGGTGCTGCCATTCCTGGCCCTGGGCATCGGGGTGGACGATATGTTCCTCCTGGCTCACGCCTTCACCGAGACCAGCCAGCACGTCCCCTTCAAGGTGAAGCCACCCTGGCCTGGGCGACCTGCCTCGGGGTGCGGGGACGGGCGGGGGGCACTGGGTGACCTGCCTCGGGGGGGG